AAGGAATCTCACCATCAAGTCCATCCACAAGAAATTAGTCAAAAAAGAAAAAAAAAAAAAAAAAGACCACGGGTAAATGGATCAACAGAGGGAAGGGGGCAGGTGTGGGGAAAGGGAAGGGAGAGGAGGGGTACTGGGTCAGAATCAGAATAAGGCGTATTCCCTGCTTGAGGAATTCTGTCAAAATGGATGCTGCTGTCATGCATTACTAAAAAAAAAAAAAAAAACCATAAATTTTTTTAAAAAAGAAGATTTTTAAAGACTCCAGAGCATGCCTACTAGGAAGATGGACAGGTGAGGAAGCGGAGGGCCAGAAAGGTGAAGGGGTTTTCCCTGAGTTTCCCAGGGCAGGTGTGACAAATTCCGCACAGAACCCCAGAGGATCCAGTTCTAGAACTTGTTCTGATGGGAATATGACTGACAGGGAAAATCCCTCTTTCCCTACCTCCTTTAATCATCAAATATGGACCAGACTTCCCCGGGCCCCGGGCCGTCGGCGCCACCTAGGGGAGGGAGACGGTATCAGTCTCTCTCCTTGGGATCAGCCCTCTGGGCTTTACTAGGCCACTTATTGTGTAACAGCGGGACCTTGGAGCGCTTACTTACCTGCTCTGTGCCTCAGTCAGAGCGATTCATGAATAGAGATGCAAAATGGAGTAAGCCTTCCACCCATAGAAGGAGAGAAAATATTTGTAAAACATGTATCCAATAAAAGGTTAATATCCAGAAGACAATAAAACTCTAGACAACTCAGCAACAACAGAAAAAAACAACCCCATTAAAAAAAAAAAAAAAAAAAAGGGCTAAGGGTTTAAATAGATATTTCTACAAAAGGTATACACATGGCCAACAAGCACATGAACAATATGCTCAGAATCACTCATCATCAGGAAAATGCAAACCAAAACCAGAACAGAAGGAGGAGCTGGGGTTACAGGTTGGCGGTAGAGAGCTCGCCTCACACACGTGAGGCACGGGGTTTGAGTCTCAGCACCACACAAAAATAAATAAAATAGAAATAAAGATATTGTGTCCATCTTAAAAAACATAAAATAAAATAACAGAACGAGATACTACCTCATCCCTGTTAAGAGGGCTACTATCATGAAAAAATATATATATCTGAGAGGGTGGCCCATGACTCCAAGCTACTCAGAAGGTTGTGGCAGGAGGATCGCAAGTTCAAAACCAGCCTGGGCAACTTAGTGAGAGAGATGCTGTCTCAAAAATAAAAAATAAAAAGAACTTGGAAGTATATTTCAGTGGTAAAATGCTGTGGGCTCAATTCTCAGTACCACCAGAAGAAAAAGGAAAAGAAAAAAAAAGTAACAGCGTAACGTTAGCAAAGACCTAGGGAGGTCGGAAGACTTGTGTGCTGTGGATGAGGATGTAAAATGGTTTGGCGGCTCTGAAGAAAATGGTATGTTGGCTTCTCAAAAAATAAATAAATAAACATGTTTATCACATGATCCAGCAATTCCACTTCCAGGTATATACCAGAAAAAAGTAAAAGTAAGGTCTTGAAAAGATATTTGTACACCCATGTTCATAGCAACATAATTCACAAGAGCCAAGAGGGGAGAACACAAGAGGACATTAACAGGTGAGTGGATAAACAAATACACATGTACAGTGGAATATTATTCAGACTTTAAAAAGGGAAGAAATCTTGGCATTTGATACCATATGGATGAACCTTGAGGATATCATGCTAAGTGAAATAAGCCTATCAAAGAAGATGAATGCCGTATGACTCCACTCACATGAGGTCATTAGAGGAGTTGGATCCATAGAGACGGAAAGTAGAAGGGCCACTGCTGGAGACTGGGAGGAGGGAAAGTAGAGGGTAGCTGCTCGATGGGTCCAGCATTTCAGTTTTGCAAGATGAAAAGAGTTTGGAGCTTGGTTGTTCAACAATGTGAGTGTACTTTTAATACCACTGAAAGGTACACTTAAACACGGCGGAGACGATAAATGTGATGTTATGTATATTGTGCCACAATTATTTTTTAAGTTGTTTTAAAATGCTTCCACCTACAAAAAGAATTATACCTTATGAGGATTAATAATAGAGCTAAAAACTTATGACTTATACGCTTCTCTTGGAACATTTTGTCCCAGATGTCATATTTGCCAATCTTCTATTTATAAGGCCACATATATATGTATATTACTATGTTGTCCCAATGTCCCTTTTATAGATTTATAAGCCAATCTATATTTTCATTTCCTCCTCCTCCTCCTCCTCCTCCTCCTCCCTTTATTTGGTACTGGATGCTCTACCACTGAGGCACATCCCCAGCCCTTTTTATTTTGAGACAGGTCTCGCTAAGTTGCCCAGGCTGGCCTCAAACTTGTGATCCTCTTGCCTTGGCCTCCAGTGTCACTGGGATTATAAACATGTGCCACCATACTCGGACAGGTATTTTTTCTGTTTTTGTTTTTGGAGGGGGATTGCACCAGGGATTGAACCCAAGGAAGCTTTGCCACTGAGCCACATCACCAGCCCTTTTTTATATTTTATTTAGAAACGGGGTCTCGCTGAGTTGCTTAAGAGCTCGCTAAGTTGCTAAGGCTGGCTTTGAACCTGCAATTCTGCCTCAGCCTCCCGAGCCACTGGGATTACAGGCTTGTGCCACTGTGCCCGGCCAGACTTTTGTTCTTAATGATCATAAAGGATATGTCAGTTCTAGTTCATGGTATACAACCTATTTTAATGCACTTGTGTCAATTTCCCTGAAATATTTGCAGAGTTGAAAATTTGGGACTTATTACTATGCATTATATTTTAATAAAAGGTTTACACACATACACACACACACACACACACACACACACACTATGTTTGGTGCTGAAAGCAGTGAGCCATGCTTTCTGCCCCAGACCTGTGCCTGATTCTCTAGCCATGCTGTGAGCCCTCCAGAGCCAGACTGAGCATCTTTGCCCTTGACCCAGGACCCAGCACAATGCCTAGCACACCCAAACAAATAATTGCAAAATCACAGCTGACATTTGCTGAGTCTGTATCCTACGTCGGGAATCATTATAAGTGCTTCATTTGCATCACTTCGTCTAACTCTCACAATAATCCTATGAGTTTCATACTTTGCAATTTCTATTGTACAGACAAGGAAACTGAGGTCCACAGAGAGACAAAACAATGAGATTCAGGATACGCTGTGACACTGCCTGGATGTCTTCTTCATCCTCGTGACATCCTTCTCATCCTTCCCAGCCCAGTCCTAAGGCCACCTGATCCCCGCACACACACACCCCCATATACGTGGGTTAGTTCTCCCCTCTGTGCCACCCAAGCCCCTCTCTGTCACGACATTGGCCCTGACTTTCTAGGATTCACCTGTTTGTGGTCTCCCTTTTCTTTGGCACTGGGAAACGCTCTAGAAGAGAACCTACCACTTATTTGCACACCTCTAGGTAATAAATGAATACAAAATTGAATTTCAGTGTTTTCTTTACCCAGTGCAAAAATTCCCTTCGTTACACGTAGCCATTTGGGGAAGAAGGCAGAGCGTATGAATCCATCAGCCAAATGCACTCTTAACTTTCTTGACAAGAGGTGAATCAACCTCTAGGTCAGACTACAGTGCCCCTTCTGCCATGTACCAGGGCAAGTTTTCAACCAGTGATCAGCCCATCAATGGTATATAGTATCCGTCAGGGACTATCCTATATGACCTGCCATACACTACCTTATCCCAGAGTGTCACATGTTTTCAAAATGTGTTTACATCCACTGACTCGCTTGATATCCCCAGCAACCTTATAAAGTGGGTGTCACTGGTGTCATTATCCCTGTGTGACAGATGGAGAAACTGAGGCATGGGGTGTGGCTTGAGGTCCTCCTCCAGGTAGCTCAGGAGACTAAAGGCAGTCATGAGTGGGGGCTGCCTCGTGGCATCCTGTGCAGGCTGGCCCGGGACACCATGAGCGGTCACCCACAGAGCCCTCTGATAGGTAGACGTGGGGGCTGCAGGGAGAGAGGAGGCTGAGCTGAGCGGGCAGGGGATGGGTGCCAAGAATTGGGCAAACGTGTTGGGGGAAAGCCTGAACCTGCAATCAGCCTGGGGGACATGGGGCAACCTAGCGGAGCGGAACCTGGCCGTGTTTACAGGAAAGGGCCAGTCCCCAGTATGTGTCCCAACAGACTGACTCAGCCCATCCCCAGGCTGAGGAAGTGAGGACAGAGCAGGCAGAGTGGTGGAGAAATCCCCAGAAAGGGGGTGAAGGGAGGCCCAAAGGACTCAACCCGGTGCCCTGGTTGAGTCCTCAGAGCCCCGGAGAGCCCCACAGAGCCCAGGTGAGACGGGCAGCAAGGCCTCTGCCCTGGACGTTGAGGGTCTGAATACTCTGTCTCCGTGACCGGACCAGGACCTGACCAAGGGGTCTGCCTGCAGGAGGGGGAATCGGGGTCCCCAGCCAGCAGAGCCCTCCCTGCTGACACCTGCTGAGCCAGCCCTGCGCTGACTCGGGTCAAGTTCACGGTCAGGTCTGGGGATACGGAGAGTGGAACAGAACGACAGTGAACAGAGCATGCCCCTGGGCAAGAGGATCACAAGTTCAAAGCCAGCCTGGGCAACTTGGCCAGACCCGGTCTCAAAATAAAAAGGGCTGGGGGGAGGCTCCGTGGTAGAGTGTCCCTGGGCTCAATCCTCAGAACCGAAAAAGTGCCCCTGGATAGGGAGAGACCCAGAGGGAAACGGGGCGCACAAGGCCTCCCAGAGGTGGGCATGCGATGGGGGCCCGTCCTTCTTTCTAAATCCATCCTTTTGATCACAATAAGCTCAGGCCATCCCAGACCCATCCTCAGAAAAGGAAGCCCACCAAGACGGGCTCCGGCGGGGCCTGAAGGCAGATGAGACCCTCCCCGAGGAATTCTGCCTCCGATTCCCGGGCTCCAGGGGAGAGCGAGACAGAAACAGCCCGGATGGGGCAGGGGCAGGTCTCAGTCGGGAGGGGTCAGGGACCACCAGAGGGCTGGGACCATGGAGTCCCGAGTAACTGGGAGACAGGACACCGCAGCCGTCAGCAGGTTTTATTGGTAAACACCAGGCCTGACCTTTCCTCCTCCAGGAAGTCTTCCCTGCTTGACAGTCCCTCCCTGTGACAGGAGTCTGCCCTCTGCCGGACTTGACTGTCCTCTTCAACCCGTCTCCACCTCTGAGTCACAGGAACAAAGCCTAAGGCACATCCTCCCTGGAACCACGGCTCCCCACTCCGGCACCGAATGCCAGCACGTGTTCCCCTCTGTCACCCACGCCTGAAACATCAGCCTCCTTCTGGACCCCCTCCCTCAGTTTGTCACCAGGCCTGGGGCTTCGATGTCCCCACCTCCCCTGGGCCTACGCCCCCCCTGGTTTCCCTGCATACAGCCACTGACCTCGTCCTCATGGCCCTGGGCCCAGGCCGTGCAGGAGCCTCTCCCCTGTCTGATCTACTCCCGGGCCCCCAGGTAGCCTCTGGGGGAGTGTTGATCACCTCCACCTTAGACAGCCCCTCGGGGTCCATTACCCAGGTACAGTCCAACCCCAGAGGTGGGCCTTCCAGGACTGCAGGGGTCTTGTGCTGGACCTGGGGTGCAGCTCAGTGCAGAACTCCCACCTAGCACACACAGCCAGGCCCTGCGTTCAGCCCCCCAGTGAGAGAGAAAGACAGAGAGAGAGAGAGAGAGAGAGAGAGGCTCCTCAGACCCACCTATTCAAACAGAGCTGGGTTTATTCCCCTTGGAGTTTCATTTCCAGGCCCACTTTCTGATGTCCTGGGCGACCACAGGTGTCTCCACTGCTGTTCCCTCTCCTAAAATGTGCTCCTCTCCCCTCCCTCGTCCCTCCCCGAGCCCAGGCCCGTCCCTTGATATACAGGGTCATCGACGCTCTCATTCTGAGCAGGGACACCTTCAAAAACAATGTCCAGTGTACTCCTGCCCGGTGGCTCCCTTCTGCCCCTCTGTCCAGGGAGAGAGTCAACAGGAACATGACTGGGGAGGCCCGGCTTCCTCATTAGAGGCTCAACTGCCCCAAGGAAGAGCCTCCTTCTCACAGTCTGAGAGCCGGGGCGGGGCTGCGTCCCCACTTAAACAAGAACCCGAGGGCTCCGGGGCTCGCCTCCTCCTTCAGCCAGGGGCCTCTTGAAGGCAGAAGCTGAGTCTCCCATCCGTGAATGGTGCCCAGGACCACGAAGAGACGCATACCCCAAACGAGTGTGAGGCTGCCCAAGTGTGAGCTGCACACACAGCAGAGTTCTCGGCCGGCCCCGTGGCCAGCTCACACCCCTCCTGGAGGCAGGCTCCAGCGGCCCTAGTAGAGGCTCCGCTGGGCACAGTGGTGGGCACACAGCTGCCGGTGGTACTGCAGGTGGTAATCCTTCGCCAGCTTGCCCAGGATGTAGAGGAACTCTTCAAAGCAGACCTGGTTGTCCTTGTTCTTGTCTGCTGCCCGGAACAACTCCGCGACGTAGCAGGGCTCCTTCCGACCCTGAGGAGGGGCCAGAGGGTCAACCACCCTCCAAGCACACAGCCCGCCCACCGGGCCTCGGCCACCTGCAGGTAACAGCAGAGTGCCCTGCCCATTGCAGGGAACGCTGACTAGGACACCGCATGCTGCGTCCCTGACCTTAGCCCTGAGCTCTGATAGAGGAGGGGACACCGAGAGGAGACGCAGTGGCCAGGCCAGGTGGGCACGGCGAGGCAGGGGGTCGTGGCAGGGGCTGGTGGGCATGGCGCCCCCACACCGTGGGGGGCGTTTGGGAAGCACTCGGGGGAGGGGCTGTGGCATGTGGGCAGCCGTGGGGCGGTGGGCAGGCTTCATCCCTGCAGGCAGATGCAGGCCTCTCTCCCACCACCGTCTTCCGCTCTATAGCCCTATCACTCCTCTAGGCTGGGCGCCAGAGAACCGCTGGAGGCTTCCGCCCTGAGCAGGCTCTCCCCGGCTTCCCTCACCTGTGCCACATCAGGCCTGCTCCCCGTGCCCAGGTGTCTGTCCTCTAGGGCCCTGTGCCTAAGTGGGACTGTGAGCCCCGTGCATGGAGGGCCTGGGGGGTCCTGGCACAGCCCCAAGAGTTTTCCCTGGAAAGGAAAAGGTGTCCTAGAAATAAGACTAGTCACCCCAGCTCCCCTACCCATGCCCAGGGGTACGCTCCAGGTGACAGAGGGCAAGACTGTCTCCTCTGCTCTTTCCCAGTTAGGAGCAGGGATGGGACATGACGGTGACCTTGAGTCAGTGGTTCAATCTCATGTCTCTGGAGATGACTGTTCAGAAACCCTAGGGGACAGGACAGAGGGCGGAGGGTAGCACCCACAAAAATCCTTGTGGGCCTTACAGTCCCCAAGGATCCTCTGGGGTGGGTCTGCAACACTCAGGGGGCAGGAGGTGGGAGGGAAAGTTAATTCTCCTACCCCCGCCTGTCCTAGGGTGGCCCCCACAGCCTGAACTCTGCTCCCCCAGGCCCAGGGGACAGAGTGGCAGGGGAAGGAGCTGAGCTCAAAGGGCTGGGGAAGGGGTCCAGGGCTGGGGGCAGTCGCTGGCAGATGGGCCTGCCAACAGAGGGGAGGACTTAGGGCCTGTGCTCAGCAGACAAGATGGACGAACAGTCTGGGGGTGAGGTCTGAGGGCCTTGCACTGGAGTGAGGCAGGCAGGGGAGGGAAGGGCGGGAAGTGAATCTGGGCAGACCCTGCTCTGCTTCACTTCCCCTCCTAAGTTGGAGATTCTCCTGGAAGTCAGCTCCTTCCCAACGCCCTCACCACTCACTTCCCGCACTCCCCTCCAACCCCATGGCCAACCCCACGTCCATCCCCTCCTCATCCCCACCTTGTCCCAGACCCCACACACCAAGGTCTCCATGAAGCGGGGCACGTTGTCCGTGAGCAGGGCCCTCAGCTCCTCCAGGGTCAGGGTCTCCACGTCCCCTTCGCGGGCTGCATACTGGTGGTAGCAGTGGATGATTTGGAAAAGGGACTCCTCCACTGGTGTGTCCGGCATGACTGCTGGGCTCCCACCTGGGACAGGGGGCAGGTCAGGGGCTGCAGGGGACAGCAGCTGGGCACAGCGGAGAATCTGGTCTGGGGCAGTCCACAGCAGGACGGAGGCTTCTTCCCAGAACCTTCTGCCTTCCTCCTCCTGCCCACGTTCCAGCACCTGGCCTCAGGTGTCCTCCCTGCAGTTCCCCTGGCCCCTCGCAAACCGACTCAAAGTCACTACCCTGCAAGAAGCTTTCCAGCAGAGTCCCAGGATACCACTGTGTCCCCTCACTTGGACTGAGGAGGACAGGTGTCCTGGGTGCAGGAACTGTGTCCTCCTCCCCTCCAGACCACCTGGGTTTAAGAGTTACCTGCCGTCAAAGGAGGAGGGGGAACTGAAGACCCTCTGAAACAAAACAGCGTTTATGTTGTTTACAATGGAAATTTAAAATCCTTGAAAAGGCAGTATCCGCGTTCCTGCCAAGAACAGTTTTGTTCCACAAGCAGAAAATTCAAATACCCAGATGCTCGGGGACCCAGCCTGTTCCTGCTGTTTTCTTTCTCACTGAAGTGTACCGACAGCAGGTGCATCGACACCTTTGCCTGCCATCCCCTCGCCGTGTGACCTCGCCATGCCAGCAGCTCTCCAATCCAGTGGCCCCCCCACCACCTCTGTACAGTGCCCACCTTGAGGCCTGTCACCTGCTGCACCTCACTTCCTACAGAGATGGAGATGAGATCCAGTTGGGGGATCCAGCTGTCCTCCCTGAATCCTGTGCAGGTGGGAATCGTGACCACATTCCTATACCTTGTCTCGGGAGATGAGATCCAGTTGGGGGATCCAGCTGTCCTCCCTGAATCCTGTGCAGGTGGGAATCGTGACCACATTCCTATACCTTGTCTCGGGCGCTGCTTCTACCCTTATGGGGCCAGCAGGCGACAAAGCACCGTCTACACATTACCCCATTTAATCCTCACAGTGACCCTAGAAGGTAGGTACCATGACCCCTATTTTCCTAGGGGGTAGGGAGATGAAACCCAAAGAGGTCAAGAAGTTTCTCAATATCACACAACAGACCCCCCTGGAGTCGGATTCAAACCCCTGTCCTTGGGAACAAGCCCAAACACCTGCTTTTGGCTTAGGGCCTCACAGTTATGCTGTTAGGACACCCATCTACACTGTGCATACTCTCCAAAACAGGTGGGCTGCCCTCCTGTGCCCTCAGAACCACGCACACCAGCCCAGCCCACCCTGCCCCTGGGGTTCTCTTGGAAGAGATGCTGACCTGTGGCCGTTGGATCCCCAGAGCAGCCCGTGTTGATCCTGGAGATTCCCGAGCTCAGGCAGGAGGCAGTTGTGTGAGCAGGGGACCCCCCTCCAGGCCCCACATCCCTGGTGCTCCTATTATGCCAGTGTGTGCTTCTCCCCGGTCCCCAGCACACACTGAGGCTCCCAGGATGGAGCCTCAGCAGCATTCCTGACGTGACGTCACGACCCTCATTGCTCAGATGAACTCATCCAGTTTCAGGGACCCACCTGCCCCTGAAGCAGGATCCGTGGTATCTAAGAATCACCAAGGTCTCATCATCTGTCTCCTGCCTCCGAGCTCACCCTCCCGGTGCCAGGGCTTAGGTGGGGTCGGGCACACACTTAGACACACTGTTGTCGGATCTGCAATTAGTGACCTCCAAACTCCACAGTCAGGGCACACTCATTCATTCATTCACTCAGCAAATATTTCAGAGCACCTACAGTGTGCCAGGCCCTCTGCTAGGCATTATAAATAAGACACGGCTCAGCCCACAGGGTGGTGATGAGTGAAGGGACAATCATGCCCTGTCACGATGCACTCAGCGACATGAACAGGGAGCTCCAGCCGCCTGGCAAGGCGCGCCTTCTGCCTGCGGAGTTGAGAGACTTCCTTAGGGAGGTGGTATTTGAGCTGGGACCGGAGAAGACGTGGTGGGTTGCAATGAGAAGTGGAGGCCCAGGGGCTTCCTGCAGAGGAAACAGCGAGGGCCAAGGCTTGGAGGTTTGAAAGAGCCAGTCCTGCTCAGGGGACAGAGCGGGGCACCCACAAGCAGTAAGAATACACGAGGCTGGAGCAGCGCGTGAACCAGAGGCGAAGGGCCCTGGACCCCGAGAGAGAGCTCAGCTCTGGCCTGTGCCTGGAGAGAGGCCAAGGGGGCTTTTCCTTCACTTGTTCTCTGTGGGTACATACGAAAGTGGACTGTATTGTGACATATTATACATGACGAGTGTGACTTCCCCTTCTGGTGGGTGAGCATGATGTGGAGGTGCACTGGTCGCGAATTCATAGGTGAACACAGAAACTCATGTCCAGTTCTTCCTACTGTCTCTCCTATTCCCGTTCCCCCTCCCTTCCCCGCCTTCCCCTTGGTCTAATCCAAAGCACTTCCATTCTTCCCTCCCCTCCCCCTTATTGTGCGTTACAGAGAGCATTCCGCCTTTGGTTTATGGAGATTGGCCCATTTCACCAGCATGATAGACTCCGGTTCCATCCATTTATCAGCAAATGCCATAATCTCATTTCTATTTATGAAGAGAGGGGTTTAATGAGTTGGGGGTGGTGGGTGAGGAGTGGTGGATGGGTGCACCAGCTTTGTCCCTGAGGAAAGAACCCACTGCAATGTGGAAGTGGCTCTACTCTGAATGGGGCGAGGCCCAGAGGCTTGGCCTCCACCCAGATGCCACCGGGGCCTTTGAGTGACAGGTGAGCTCCCCTCCCCATCTCACCCGAGCCCAAGCCTTCTCTCAGCAGCCCCTCCACCTACCCCCAACCCCAAACAGCTCCCTGGGAGGCCCACACAGGCTGATGCGTGAGTCCCCCAGAAGAGGGCGCCAAAGGATAAGCAGCTGAGCCAGACTGCGCCGGGGCATCCTGAAGGCTGGGAACCACCCAGGCTGGATGGGGTGAAGCTCAGTCCCAGAGGGCGAGCCTGCGCCAGGTCTGGGGTCCAAAGCACCAAAATCATCATCATCATTATAGGCAGATACTTAAGGCACTATCGTTTCCACTTTGACTCCCTCTACCCAATATAACAATTCCCTCAACAAACAAGTGGTTCCCCTCTCTCTCTCTCTCTCTCTCTCTCTCTGCCCCCCCCCCTTACTAGAAATTGAACCCAGAGGTACTCTGCCACGGAGAGACATCCCCAGCCCTTTATTTTTCCTTTTTCTTTTTTTTTAAATTTGAGTCAAGATCTCAAACTTGTGATCTTCCTACCTCAACCTCTCAAGTAGCTGGGATCCCAGGCATATGACAGCATATCTGGCTTGCACTTTGGTAATTTCTAAACTAAAAATATGACCCAAATTTCTAAAAAAAAAAAGTAAAACAACTTGGCCATACCTAGATTGAGGCCCAGAGAATTTTTTTATTAAATACCTTCGACTCAGCCCTCCTTTCCCTGGGAATTTATCCCAAGCACTTCATTAGCCAGGTTTTGAAAGCAATAATCAAGGAAAACATTCACCACTGAAGTATGTACAATCAAGAAACAAAAATAAAATTAAAACCTGGCGGTCAGGTAATTAACAGCCTTAGGAGACCAGTGTGACTCATCCTTGGACAATTGCTGCATAATAACTGGTCTCGCAAAACAAATCCCATTGTTAACCCATGGCTGTCCAGGGAGTCAGACCCTACTCCTCTTACCCCGCCTGCCTGATTTTTTTTTTAATCCTCTTCTGGGGCTGGGGCTGGGGCTCAGTGGCAGAGCGCTTGCCTGGCATGTGTGAGGCACTGGGTTCGATTCTCAGCACTGTGTATAAACAAACGCCCTGCCCAACATTTACTGAACAACAACAAAAGATCATCCTCTTCCTATTGGTGTTATAACCGCATACAGTAGTGGGCTTCACTGAGACGTATTCCTACATGAACATAATTTAGTCCGTTTCATCCCCAGTTCTTCCCCATTCCTCCCCTTCTCCCAGCCCTCATTCCCTTCCTCCCTCTGCTGGTCCCCCTAGCTGTCCTCCCTTTGTCTCTCTACCTTACACATGGGAGAGGAAACATACCACCCTGTGGAGTCAGCCTTATGTCACTTAACGTAAGGTTATCCAGGTCCATCCGTTTTCCTGCAAATGACACAACTTCTTTTTTATGGCTCAGTAACACTCCATGGTATGTGTACCCCACATTTTCTTTATCTACTCACTTGCTGACAGACACCTAGGCTGGTTCTATGGTTTGCTATTGTGAATTGTGCTGCTATCAACATGGGTGTGCATGGACCACTACGTCATGATGACTTTAATTCTTCTGTATAAATACTGAGGAGTGGTAGACCTGGGTCACATGGTGGTTCCACGCCTAGTTTTTTGAGGAATCTCCATATTAATTTTTACAGTGGTTGTACTAATTTACAATCCTACCAATAGTTCTTCCTGCCTTTTGTTCAGCCTAAGACAAAATATCCCTACATGGCATGCCAGTACACAGGGACAATTCCTTCGCAGCCCTGCTGTAACTACCCCCTTCATGTTGTGTTCTAGATACCTTCTCACACGCTTAACCAAGGCCAGCCTGATTTTCAATGGCCATATAATAACCATTGACATGTATCGAAAGGTCTTATTGATCCATTATTGGTGAGACCCTTGGGTAGCCTTTAGTTGATATGCTTTCATATCGACTCTGACTTCATACTGACATTTCTGCAGAGTTTTGCCGTGTGATAGGGTTCTCGTTGTACCTGGGCTGGGTGCTGGGGAGAAGAGGGTCAGAAGAGGTTTGAATGACATTCCTCCTCCCAGAAGTCCACTGTCGGAGGTGGAGTGAGACATCCAGACCCAACTTCAAGGGAGGGTGCTTGGCGAAGAGCCACAAGCTCGGTGCCTCCCCGATACTCACCCCAACTCCCCCCACACCCACCCTGAGGCCAGGGTAAGTGTGTGACACACGAGCCTCCCAGTCTTCCATCTCTCTGATCGTGGAGGCCAGTCAGTGGTGTCCAGAAGCCCCTGCAGCAAAGGAGACAGGCTTTCTGGTTGGCTGGAGAAAAGGGGTCCACCCCAGATGGCCATGAAGCCCCCCAGGGTTTCAGACAACTCCAGGACAGGTAAAGACCTCAAGAAGATAATAAGGGTTTGGCTAAGAGGGTAGTGGAGGGTGGAAGAGACCAAGCAGTTACTTTGGAAACTAAAGAAACAGGGTCATCTTTGCACCCAGGATGATGAGTCGAGTTCTACTGTGACATACTGAGGCTTATTTGGGATTTTTACCAAATCTCATCAGTCTAATTTTATAGACCTAGTTTATAGTTAGAGCAAACTGACATCCTACTCAGTATCTAAACTGGCCAGACGCAGTGGTGCACACCTTAATCCCAGAGGCTTGGGAGGCTGAGGCAGGAGGATCTGGAGTTCAGAGCCAGCCTCAGCAAAAGTGAGGCACCAAGCAACTCAGTGAGACCCTGTCACTAAATAAAATACACAATAGGGCTGGGGATGTGGCTCAGTGGTCGAGTGTCCCTGAGTTCAATCCCCAGTAACTCCCCCTACCTCAAAAAAAAAGTATCTAACTGGGTGGGGGATGCATCTGGTTGGAAGAAGGCAGATGGCTACTGGCTGCTTCAGAATCCTCAAGGGAAATGTTTGGAATAACAGACTCCAGGAGGCTCCCGGGGAAGGAGGACACAGCAAAGCCCCGGGTTCTTCTCCTGCACTGAGCACTGTTTTGTTGTTGCCGCTGTCTTTTTGATTCAGTTTTCATGTCTGGTGCTGGGGATTGAGCCCAGGCCCCACACAGGCCAGGCAAGCGCTCTACCACTG